TTTATTCCTTGAACCAGGGATTTATCATAAGTTAGCATAAATTTATAAAGCATCTGGAAAACACTTCTGCTTCAAATTCTAGTGTCTTAGTTATCTAGGGCTGCTATAATAGAAATACCACAAGTGGATGGCTTTCACAAACAGAAATTTATTCTATCACAGTCAAGGAAGCTAGAAGTCCAAACTCAGGGTACCAGTTCCCAGGGAAGGCTTTTTCTGCCAGCTCTGGGGGAAGGTCCTTATCATTAATCTTCCCCCGGTCTAGGAGCTTCTCAGTGCAGGAACCCTGGGTCCAAAGGACAGCCTTTACTCCCAGTGCCTCTTTCTTGGTTGTATGAGGTCCCTTTCCTCTCTGCCCACTTCTCTCTCCTTTTATCTCTTGCCAGGAGCCTTGGTGGTGCAGTGGTTAAGAGCTACGGCAGCTAACTAAAAGGTTGGCAGTTTGAATCTACCAGCTGCTCCTTGGAAACCCTATGGGGCAGTTCTACCCTGACTCTAGGGTCGCTATGAGTTGCAATCAACTAGACTGCAATGGGTTTAATGGGTTTTTGGTTTAAGATAAAAGATGATGCAGGCCACACCCCAGGGAAACTCTCTTTACATGGGATCAGGGCTCCGACCTGATTAAGAATGTTGCATCCCACTCTAATCCTCTTTAACATGACCTCATCTTGCCTCATTAACCACAGGCAGAGATTAGGATTTACAACACATAGGAAAATTAAATCAGATCACAAAATGGAGGACAACCACACAATAGTGGGAAACATGGCCTAGCCAAGTTAACACATATTTTGGGAGGACACAATTCAATACACGACACCTAGCACTCATCTCCATCACAGAACTGACCCACAGGAGGGAAAAAAGTTTTGTCCAGTCAGGAGTATTATGAGACGGTGTCTTCATATTAGAAGAATAGGGGGAAATGGGTAGTTGTTAATTTTAAGTAAAAATTAGTTGACGTACTTGTATCATCCAAACCATAAAATAAACCCCAAAAAAATCATGATGGCAACAATGTATTAGAAAAGAGTTGATTAAATGAATTGACTTTTTATGAAAGACCAATTGTTCATTACCCTGTGTGCTTTTTAGAAGACCTGGTTTAAAAAATTAGAAAAAGAGGTGAAAAAAAATGAGCAGGTTAACGTGGAATGCATAGTGGTTATATGTCTATATAATTTGTTAGTTTGAAATCTGAAAATTGCTGAAAATCTTCCAATTTAATTTTAGGATAAAACAGTAAATAAATGAATCTTTAATTGTAATAAAGGGGCTGTAACAAAGTGAAGGAGCCCTGGTGGTGCGGTGGTTAAGAGCTCAGCTGCTAACCAAAGAGGTCAGCAGTTCGCACCAACCAGCCACTCCTCAGAAATCCTATGGGGCAGTTCTACGCTGTCCTGTAGGGTCGCTATGGGTTGGAATTGACTCAATGGCAATGGGGTTGATTTAGGTGTTTTTTTTTTTTTTTAAATGAAGTGAAATTAATTTTGGGAAAGCTAACCAATTCTACTTTTCATCAACTTGCATTAGAAAGTAAGCAGAGGTATATAGGTAAATATCTTGTAGGACTCGGTATTTGAATTATTTAAGAAGAAATCATGATCTCTCTTGCCAACCTTTCCCCAACCTATTGGTGAATTATAGGAATGTTTCCAATACCTAGGAAGCTCTGGCTTTCTTTTTTCTCCCACTTGGATATTTGCAAGCTTCTAACCCAATTGGACACAGTTTCATGCTCTGATAAAAAATTTAAAAATTGCTGTCAAGTCAATTCTGACTCCTAGTGACCCTACAACGCAGAGTAGAGCTACGCCGTAGGGCTTCCAAGACTGTAAATCTTTATGGAAGCAGACCGCCACTGTGGACTTTCGGTTAGCAGCCAAGTATTTAATCCCTGAGCCACCAAGGCTCCTTTCATGCTTTGACAAAGGGTATTAAAACCTACTCCAGCCTACAAAGTTCTCATGATCAAGATTTAAATTTGGATTAAACAAATTGATATCTTTCTTTATTTTTCAAATTCAAAATTAGGCGTACGGCATCCAATTTAATTAAAGTAACGGGTTGCAATATATTGATTTACGTTGTATTCTAATGTGTAAGGCATTTGTCTCATAATATAATATATACACAAGATCTCCATCAAGAAAAATTTAAAAGTTTATTCCTTTTATAGCTCTGTTTTGTCTCATATTTTAATTTTAACCACTACTTTATGCAGAGTAGAATATGAGTCAGCAATATGCTAGTTTAAAATGGGGCATTCCATTAACATAGCAGTAAAATAAGACATAATTTCTATTAAGAATATGATGAGTCATCTCATTTAATTGTCTATTGCATTGTATATGACTAAATCTAGCTATAATGTGTTGAGAAGCCAACAACTTGAAGGACCATTTCTCTGGATTACTGAGGTTCTCAGGCGGAGTTGAGGGTAATAGAAAAAGTTAATGGATGTTGAGATGTATATCTCAGAATCAATTAATTATAGAGTGTGAGTAACAGTAAGTCATTAAAGAACTATCACATTTAGTTCCAAAGCAATATATTACCTTTTTTGGTCTTTCTTCTTGTGTGGAGGTTCACAGAGCTAACTATGAATATGGTCTTCTGAGTTCTGGTATCAATTTAACTTCTCATGAGGAAACATTATTTCTTGACTATATCATCTTAAAATTCACTCACAAGAAGTTTGATACATTGTACCCTTAGTCTACACATAGCTTTTGGAAATTAAATTTATTAAAGTAAATTATTAAAAAATAATTTAATGGAATCTTGTAAAAGGAAGAACCATCCAAAGCTTTTTAGGAATGGCAGTATCCCTTACACCTAAAGGCTCAAAACACTTGAATATTGTTCGTACTACTCCAAAGGTAATAAATATGAGAAGATAAAAGCAGGAGTTCTTGTCTTTCTTTATGGTAACATTATGGTTGTGTTTGCAACTATTATGAATACGTGGAAACATCTTCAGGCATTATGTGTATAACTAATCCTTATACATTTGTGAGGCTCCCAAGCAAGTACATAGATAGCACTTCAGGCATAATACCACGTTGTGTATGTTTTTTTATTTTTATTTTACTTTAAACAGTATCATTCACTTATCTTACCAGATACAGTTTTACAAGCAAGTACCACACAATTAATATTACATAGAAAAAACTCTATTTCTTCCATATTGTAAAATAAGGGAATGTGTGTACACTCATCTGGCCAGCTATCAATTACTATATTAGTCATTAATATTTTTTAATTATAAAATTACATTGACAATCTTGTATGCCACCACAGGTAGCAGAGGAAACTCAGATTAAACTCACAGTCTTAGAATTGAATAAATAAGCTTGTGCAGATGTAAGCAAGAGCAGTTTGATATAAAGATGTGAAACAAAAACTAATCAGGCGTAACCAAACACCTCGTGGGATTGTTGCTGGGTTTGAAGGCTTAGGACTATAGTCTTGGCGGGCAACTCAGCAATTAGCGTAACATAGTTCACAAAGATAATGACCTACATTCTAGTTTGATGAGCAGCATCTGGGGTCTTAAAAGCTTGCGAGCAGCCATCTAAGATACAACTATTGATCTCTACATGTCTGGAGCAAGAGAGAATGAAGGAAACCAAAGACTCAAAGAAGAAACTAGTTCACAGGACTAATAGTCTACATGAACCTGGCCTTACCTGCCTTAAGACCAGAAGAACTAGATGATGCCTGGCTACCACCGCCAAGTGTTCCAATCAGGGAAGCAATAGCTGGTTCTGGGTAGAATGGGAGAAAAATGTAGAACAAAACTCAAATTCCTGAGAAAGGCCATACTTACTGGACCAGTAGAGACTAGAGGAACCCTGAGACTATTGCCCTGGGATACCCTTTAAACTTGAAACTCAAGCCCACTCGCAGTGGTCACCCATCAGCTAAAAGACAGAGTGGCTCATAAAATAAACAATAGCACCCAGGAGTACTGTGCTCCTCTAAACAATCATCTAAATGAGACCTAACGGTCAACATTTACCCTAGACCAAAGATGAGAAGGTAAGGGGGAACAAGAAAGCTAAATTAATGGAAACAGGACAACCAGAATGGAAATAATGAGAATGCTGACACATTGTGAAAAGTATGACCGATGTCACTGAACAATATGTATAGAAATTGTTAAATGAGGACCTAATCTGTGATGGAAATTTTCCCCAAAATCACAGTAAAATATATTTTTTTAAAGAACTGATCAAGGGAAATGCAAGGAGTTTGTGTTTTGTGCCATTTCTTGTTTTTTTGGCACAGAACACCTAGCTTCTTATACGTTGAGAGTATCAAATAGTTTCTGATGTTGTGGAAGAGACAGTGATAAAAATTTAGAAACCAGAAGACAAAATTTTTCTGTAAGCAAGTTTTCTTACACATTTTCTCTCTGAAATATCTAGCACTCTTTTCTCTGAGAGTTCAATAAATAACACACTTATGTTTACTAACAATGTATTCATTGAGCTGTGGTCTCAGTGACAATTGTCCAAAGTAGCAAAAAAGGGATGGTGGCTAGCATAATCATAAGAAGGAAAAAAAAAAAAGGCAATGATGACATAGTTTCCAAACAAATAGAGACAAGATAATTTATTTTACCCCTCCAAAATGCTTTTTAAAATATTTTAATTGATAGCTCAATAATACAGTCATCTCAGGACAAAAAATATAGAGACAGTGAATTTATAGGAAGCATACAACAGATACAACACTCTTAACCTTGGCTCTACAAGGCCATTTTGATAGCTCCATACCATTGAAAAGTGCAATTGATTTGTCGTAATTCAGGACATAAAACATAAGCACATTATAACTCACTTAGCAACAAGTTAGCAAGGTAATAAAAATAATACCTAGAGTAAATGCCACAGTTTCTTTATGCTTGAAATAGCCACAGTATTTAAGCAGTAAAATAGATACATATATTCTTCCAGTGTTTTTTTTTTTTTTAACCCAGAGAAAAAGCTTTAAATACAGTATTTCCAAAAGCAGGCTAAAGAAGAAAACAAAACAAATTCTTTATTAGAAGGATATTTAATTAAATGTTACACTCGAATAAAATAGTTTATGTGCATACAAGTATGAGAGAGAGTTTTGTAAAATGAGTATTCAATATGGCAGCCCCTAGCCACATGCGGACCTTTAAATATAAATTAATTAAAATTAAATTTAAAATTCAGCATCTTCATCGTATTATCCACATACTAAGTGCTGAATAACCTGTAATGGCAGTTCATTGTACAGGATGCAGTCCCTGGAACGGATTTGGAGTGATGCACTGGTTAAGAGCTTGGCTGTTAACTAAAAGGTCGGCAGGTTGAATCCACCAGCTGCTCCTTGGAAACCCTACGGGGCAGTTCTACTCTGTCTTATAGGGTTGCAATGAGTTGGAATCATCTCAACAGCAATGGTTTTTTTTTTTTGTTGTTGTTGTTTGTTTGTTTTTTTAATGGCAATGAGTTGAGTATAGTCTATGTGTTTAAGAAGATAGCGAAGGATTGACTGTGGTAGAGAGAGTGCTCACTATGGATTATACATATTCCTTACATTTATCAGTCTGCCTTGCTAATATGTTGATGTCAGTCCTAATGACTAATTTTGGTCAATGGACTTGAGTAGAAGTGATCTGTGTCACTCCTGGACTGAGGTAGGTAAGAGCTGGGATGCCTCCTCAGCATTGGCAAGCTTGGAGCCAGTCAAGATAAACAATGTTCTAGATGATATAGCTACAAGATAGAGGAGGGTTGCATGAAATATATTGAACTTTTTGTTTGGACTTTATTATATTTAGCCCCTGAGATTTGGATTAAAATTGTTAATTCAACATACTAAAAAGCCTGTTGCCATCGAGTCAATTCTGACTCATAGTGAGCCTATAGGTCAGAGTAGAACTGCCCGATAGGGTTTCCAAGGAGCAGCTGGTGGACTTGAACTGCCAACCTTTTGGTTAGCAGCAGTAGCTCTTAACCACTGTGCCACCAGGGATCCTAATACCTCATAGCCTAGCTTGTACTGACTAAGGAAAGGTCCAACAAATCCCTATTCCATCTCTTCTCCCACTACCACGGTTTCCACTCCTGCAGCTATAGTCAGCTCAATAAATAGAAATTGCCATTATTTTCTAGTTGCTCAGCCCAAAAACCTTGGAGTCATCTTTGACATCTGCCTTTCTTGCACATCCCAAATCTAATCCTACAGCAAATTTTGTTGACTTTTTCCCCGAAAATATATCCTAAAAGACCTATCTTTCTAGAATTAAATAATATAAATCAAAACTTGAACCAAATGTAACAGCAATGAAAGGTTCTTCTTACTTCAATGATGATGCTCTAAAATTCTAAATAGACTTAAAAATTGATTTCTATTTGTGATCCTGCCAGCTCTGGTGTCTAATCCAAAATAACAAGGATCATCCAGAGAATTTTTTTTTTTTTTAAAGGACCTATTTATTTTAAAGCAGAAAAGTGTGACTTTGTTACCCATTGTTGCAAATATGGCAAAGCTCAGATTATTCATATGAGAACAATTTCTTTGGAAGAGTTTTAAAAATATGAGCCTTGATCTTTATCAGCATCATAGGATTAAGAAATACCAAGTTATTCTCTTCCCTCTCAGAAACCATTGTAAAAGTAATATTTTAGAAATGAAAGCTTACCTCGCTTGTTAGGATGGGAAGAGGATGGACCGTCTATAGCATAGGACATATCAGCTGACTTTGCCTCCGTCAGCTGTTGTGTTAGCTTTTCTAGCTGTAAAAATCAAATATGATAATTAATTAGTCTTTAATAATAACCATTCTGGTCTCTACTGAAGAAGATGAAAGATGGAAGGAAGGAATGAAGCAAAGCTGACAAGAAGGAAGAAAGAAGAGAAAAAAGAAATGTAAGAAAAGGACAGAAAAGAAAAGAAAGAGAAAAAAGGAAGCTTGCATTTAGAGATTGGCTGGGAAAGGTTCATGACTCAACAGGGAACCTGGAACAAAAAAGTTTGTGGTGAAGGAAGTCTAGTCTGGGTGTTAATTGATGGGGTTCCTGTAAACATAGACTGTGTCACTGGACTTGATTTTGTCACCTATAATGAGCAGTCCTTTTCAAGGAGCTCTGAAGAACTATGTGAATGCTTGGATTTCCTGAATTCTTTGTCCTTTCTAGCAAGGAAGGAGAATTTTTTTTTTTTAAATTGTGCTTTAGGCGACAGTTTATAGCTCAAGTTAGTTTCTAATACAAAAATTCATACATCCATTGTTATGTGACCATAGTTGCTGTACCTATAATGTGACAGCACACTTCTCCTTTCCACTCTGGATTTCCCACATCCATTCAACCAGCTCCTATCCCTTTCTGCCTTCTCATCTTGCCTCTGGACAGGAGCTGCCCATTTAGTCTCATGTATCTACTTTAACTAAGAAGCACACTCTTCACGAGTATCATTTTATGTCTTATAGTCCAGTCTAATCTTTGTCTAAAGAGTTGGCTTTGGAAATGGTTTTAGCTCTAGGTAACAGAGAGTCTGAGGGCCATGTCTTCTGGTGTTCCTCCAGTCTCAGTCAGACCATTAAATCTGGTCTTTTTACTAGAAGTTGAGTTCTGCACCCCACATTTCTCCTGTTCTGTCAGGGACTCTCTGTTGTGTTGCCTGTCAGGGTGGTCATTGGTGGTAGCCAGGTACCATCTAGTTCTTCTGGTCTCAGGTTGATGGAGTCTCTGGTTTATGTGGCCCTTTTTGTCTTTTGGGCTAATATTTTCCCTGTGTCCATGGTGTTATTCATTCTCTTTTGCTCCAGGTGGGTTGAGACCAACTGACGCATCTTAGATGGCCACTCACTAAGGAGAAGTATTTTGAAGCCCTAAAGTTTCCACCCAGAAATCAACCCATGTTAATTTTTAACAAGCTCTCTAACTGCCCAAACCCTGAAGACCTAACTCTACCAGAAAAGTTCAGCCTGGGCGACTGCATGTCACCATGCCCTAATTGCTCAGAATGGAATGATGGGGAATAACTCTTTTCCAACTAACAAAGAAGTTTGCAGAAAAATGGCTGAGGTCAAGAGGGTAGCAGTTCAGGCCCTCCAAACCAGCCACTTCAAGGAGAAAGGCTCCACTTTTGGTTTCATTTCCTGGAATCATGTAAAGTTTTGTCTTAGACAAAAGATTTCCACTGTTTAAAAAATAATAATAATAACTTCTGAGAGCCATCTATCTGGTTAAAACATCCCATTTCACAGCTGAGGAGATTTAGGTTTAGAGAATTTGAAAACTTGCCCAAGGTTTCATAGTTAGGTCATTGGAGAGCAGGGACTAGAATTCAGATTTCCAAACAGGTTACCCTATGACCACTTCAGCCATAGCTTGCTTTTGTAGTATAACTTGATTAGTTTTTCCTAATGAATTACTTCACCCTTTTTCTAGCACGAATAAAAGTTTCACATTTTAGTATTAATAATTTAAAAGAAAACATTCTGTTAAAAGAAATTATCTTTTGATTATTATTAAATTTGAGCATCAAAGTATTTCACACTCTTACCTGGTTAAGTTCTTCCAATTTGTTAGCCAGTTCTATATCTGCAAGACACATTTGCCATATGAAAAATGTACAAGTAATACTCAATTCATTTTAGGACACACATTTAGGATTTTATGTGGAAGGCAAAGTTTTTTTTCATATGATTTGAGATCACCTACCCATTCCTAATAGAAAGTCCCAAATATTTTTTTCAATGCCCATAACATTGAAATGCAATCAATTATGTCATGAGAAAATACCTAATTTCCAGAAATAAGCACCAAGTTTTCTGAAGTAGACTATGGTTCTAACATGGACTATTATTTAGCAATAACTATTTTACTGACATTGGGGAAATAGTCATGAAACTATATTAAATGAAAAAAATAGGACACAAATATGTATCTCTATAATTCAATCGAAGGAAATTCCACAAAATGTTAATAGTAACTCTCTGGATTTTACAATTTAGGTATGAGTTTTTTATTTTTTTATAAGTTTATTAATTGAGAATATATTTTACTTCTTAATTTAAAAATTTTCATTTTTTTTAAGTATTTAAAAACTGAAAATCAAACCTGTTGCCATTGAGTCAATTCTGACTCACGGCAACTCCAGGTGTGTCAGAGTAGAATCGTGCTCCATAGGGTTTTCAAGGCTGCAACCTTTAGAAAGCAGATCGTATTTAGTGAGGTATTATTACAAATTAGTTATAGAAGTATTTAATAAAGTATTATTTTAACCAGTGCTTAGTCTCATGAATACACTTTTTAGAAGAGTTCAGATGCTCCCTGGGAGGGTACTGCAATGTCATACGGTCACATTTTCTAGAAGGTTAGATTTGCACTATTTCTGAGAAAATCTCAGTCATTTCTTAGAGAACTGTCATGCAAATTGTAAGTAATATTCTCCTTTTATTCAAAGGGAAAAAAAATCTCAATTTGTGTGGCCTAAATTTCCCATTCATGGTCTCTATTCCAACCATTTTCCAAATTGAAAGAATTTGATTGAAAAAGGTAGTAGCTTAAAAACCTCACAACTGCTATTAATTTATGAAATATCTAACAGAAACCTATGTACATAATAGTTTCAAAGCATTTGGTAAAATAAAATATTAGTTGTACCAGTGGGAAGTTGCAGAGATGAGAGGAAATATAAACAAAGGTAACTTTTATTTTTTTTAACTAAACGCTTACCATTCCCATTCAGATCCTGTAATTGAACAAAACAGGCTTTTAATATTTTTATATAACTTCATTGCTTGTAGCATGAAGATAAAACAAAGAAAACACTTAAGCCTTCAATAACAGATAAGTAAAGGAGTTGCTATTATATTTTTAATATTAGTTCTCGTTTTGAAAGAGTAGGTCTTAAGATCGCTACAAGTCAAAACTGACTCCACAGCAATGGGTTTGTGTTTTGGGTTTATGTCATCCTGCAGAACAGACTCTGATATTTATTCCAGCATTGCTTTATCCCTGACTCACCAATGTTGGTAGATCTTTGGAGATCAAAATTTCTATTCAGTAGTGCCAGCAATAGCTCGTCACGATTTATATCTTCTTTATCTGGAAACAATTCATTTTCTGTAATGATTGCAAACATCCATTTTCAGACTATGTCACTGAAAGTGTTTCTGATTAAACAGGTAACTATCAATGTCTCTATTCACCAGTGAAATGGGTATAAAGATGTGTGATCCAAAGAGAGGGACTATTTTTAAAATCATTGAACGTGTAGGAACACTCAGAGAGAGATTGAGAGAGAAAGAGATAGACCACATGCCTAGGTTATACCCTACAGTATTACATCTGATAACTTCTGGGTAGTGGAATTATGGGTGAATTTTACTTTCTTCTTAATCTATATTTTTGAAATTTTCTACTATTACATTTAAGAAATACAAATGAATTTTTTTAATAAAAAATAAATAACATTTGATTTTGGAATTTTATTTGATATATTTATGTTTGAATATGAGCAAATTTGTATTCTGAGACTTTCCTTGAAACCACTCAAGGGAACTTTGTGGAAGAGCTGGAATGGCGTCTAGTTCCATACTGATGACTTTTGATCTTTGTCCATTTACCTCATACCCTGTTCATTGCTCAGAGTGGCCACTTCTCTCAGCCCTATTACATCAGAACTGTCATGCAAAGTTCCCTTCATGTTTTATTCTGGAGCAGAAATTGGATCAACAGATATTATTCAAGCTATAAAATATGAAGATTCAGCTAGCACTCAATCAACCAATGATGTAATTGAAACAATAATTAGTATGTTACACATAAAATGAACTTTTGTGAGGTGGCCTGAAAAAACCTACCTTTTATCACACAATTTCTATAGGACTTTCTTCCTTCTCTCTGTGTCCTCATTCATACAAATGTCCCAGTGTGGGCAGAAGCTAGATTAGTGAGGTTGAAGTTTGGGAGTGAGAAAAGTGTGGTTTCACCTGGAGAAACGGCTTATAATTTAACAAGATTCTCTCTTTAAATCATTTGTTTTTCCTTGTGTCTACAAAACATCAATAGATAAACTCAAATAATGAAATGGCCAATTAAAGGAAAGAAAGTCTTGCTGAAAAGAAAAATGGGTAAGTTGGGGCAGTGACAGCATCAACGTCTTCTGCATTGACCAAAGTCACTCAATGGTTCTCTGTTCTCCAATTTTCTTTGCTTTATAGAAATTATCTGTAAAATTATTTGAATAACTAAAATGTTAATAAAATATCATATGGAACTTTTGCTTGACATCAATTATTCAATGACCCTCAGGGATAGTTTACGAGAAAAATATGATCATGCAGTAACAATATTTTTATTATTGTTGTTCATTAAAATGTCAAATGATAAATTTTAAAAATGTTTTAATTGAAAAAATAAGGTTCATTTTATCACCAGATAATAATGACTACTCTTTTCAGAAAGAGAGCTGTGGGAAGAGAAGCAGATTCAATGCCTTCAGTTTAGAGAATTTACAACACTACGTGAAGATAACCAGGAAACAATAGAGCTGAGGCTTTTATTTGGTAAATTTACAGTCCAGTTCCCTGCATGTTTAAATGGAATATTTTCCAAGGTAGAAATTAATACATTTTAATTTCTTTAACAGTTTCATTTCCAGTGATTACATTTGCCTATTTTTGTATCACCATTTAAAACAACCATCTTTTACAGAAATCCCTGAAGAAAAAAATTTTCAGGAAATTATAACAGAATATTTTTCATTTCTAAACTTAAGTAAGATATTGGGTAAGAAAAAAATAATATAAAATAAATCTTTTGTTTCTTGTTTAATTTTTAGTTTTAAAACAGGAACTAACATGGTTTTTTTTAAAAAAAACATGTCTACTTTGAATATCTTCCTATTTTTGAACAGGGAGTGAGTATTGATAAGGGAAATACTTGAATATAAAAATACCTGAGTGTAAATGGACTTTTGGCACAAATAACAGTGAAGCCATCAGACCTGGGAAAGTGGGTGCTTTTGCAAATATACAGAAAATACAGAAGACACACTGATTTACTAAAAGTTGAGTTACTGAATCTTAAAAATTTAGTTGACCCCTTGCTTTTCATACAGATGTGAAGCTTTTTACTGGAAGTGAAAAGGGATTTTATCAGAAGGAAACCTGGAAGCCCTCCCCGCAAAGGATAATATACCATAAAATACATTTTTCATAGTCTTCTAGATCATGATGTTCTTTCTTACACCTTTTATGGTAGGCAATTTGTCCAGTTTTTTGGCTCCAGCCAAAGGAAATCTGGCAGGTGTGTGCCATTTGCCTTGGACGGTATCTAGCCCTGATGGAGAACGGTGGTGACTCTAGGTCTATAATTTGTGTCTGCATACAAATGCTTGCTTGAAAAAAAATATATATATGTTAAGTAAGTTAAATATTTGGTTGTTTGAAAAAAGATGTGCTCGTGGAAAGATACTCACTCTAATTGTGGACAATTAAGATAAAAAAAAAAAAAACCTTACAAATTAATCTTCCTCCTTGACATATAAGGAAACCAAAATTGAAAGGGAACCCAGGGAGAAACATTTCCACTCTGCTGCCAGTGATACATGCTATTTAATTGTAATCTAGCAAAATGCTGTAGGGTTGGATTTTTCTATATTTCCTATACACAGGAAATGAGAAGTCACGGTCACCACTAACTAATATACCCTAATTTTGTGAAGTCCTCAACAAATGACCACCTTTTTTCTCACACATTTGCATTGTGGTGGGAACACAGAAAGGCTTATTATTGCACAGAAAGAGTAATGGAGGGCCACCAAATGTAATGATTTGGCCAGACAGAGACAAAATGTGAGTGTCATGGGTAAAATCCAGCACCTTTGCTTCCCAGATTTGTATTTAGGTTACTGAGACAACTTGCTTTTCAAGAGGAAAATTCTCATAAATAACAAGGTCTTTGCAATGTTATTTGAAGTGCCAAAGAAACTGCTATAGTTTCCATTGACTTTTAATACCACGTCTGCTGTTGCCCTAAGCACAATTCAGGTGATCACAAGAAGGGGCTGTAGCTGCTAAATGTACTATCACAGGCAAAGCTGTGAGAGCCAGAACTCAACAGGACTGCCTTGTTTTTCCCTGTCTCTTACGTTTTCCGCCCTTGACAGGGTGCAGTCTTCACCACTTTTCTATCACTCTCTGTTAGAGAAGAAAATTGCAGTTTTCCTTCTCTAACAGGTTTCCGCCTTACACCAGTTCCGGCTTTCGCAGGTTTTACGGTACTTACATGTGAGGCAACATGGTCTAGTAAAGTGGAACTAGACCCAGAAGTGGGAAACTTGGTCCCTTTGCTCAACCCAGTGTCCTGTCAACAAAATTCATTACTTTCTGTCTTGGCTCCCCTTACATGAGTAAAATAATGTCTCCCCCTTCCTGACAAGGAGGTGAGGCTGATGAAAGAAAACTACAGAATTTCAAGTGGGAAAGGATACTAGGCAAGGTTATTTTAAATTACTCTTTTTAAAGCGTGAAGAAATGTATAAAGGTTTCAGTGAGGTTAAGTTGCCTGACAAATATTAAGCAGTTTATGAGTCAGCACTAAATCCAATTCTACTGATTCTCAGATTAAGAGCTGTTTCCATGATAGAATGCACTGAAAATTTTACAGGAAGGTCAATAAAAGTTACAATAAGATAAGAGCAGAAACTTATTTTCACCCAATTTATTATGGTATGTATTTGCAGATACCATAGATGAAACTATTTCATTTAACGCATGTCCCCTAATATGTTAGAACTCTAATAAATAGAATCGGTGCATAAGATGGATGTTAGTATCATCCTCAAGGTATTTTATCATGCATTATTATCCTCAAATCTCTGCAAATGCAAGTTTCTGCCTTCATACATAACTGCCTTTCATAACTGATTTACAATAATCCCATGGGATAAAAATACCCTACTGGTTTCCCCCATACAAACTTTTGAAGTATGCACAGATTACATGACTGTGTTACTATTCATACATTCCTCATCTTTGGTCATGGTGTAGCAGTGAGAAATGAGTGTCCCATGAGTAGGAAAAATACAGTGTAGCTGAAATAAATTTGGTACAATGTCAGTTAAAATAAAATTTGGTGCCATTTACTTGAGAAGAACAGCATCACAGATTACGCTTAATTCAGAACAGCAACTACTAAAGGGATGTGTTATCAGGAGGGACCAGTCCCTGGAGAAGGACATCATGCTTGGTAGGGTAGAGGATCAGCAAAAAGAGGAAGACCCTCAATGAGATGGATTGACACAGTGACTGCAACAATGGGCTCAAACGTAGCAAAGATTGTGAGGATGGCGCAGGCCTGGGCAGTGTTTTGTTCTGTTGTACACAGGGTCGCTATGAGTCAGAACTGACTCCACAGCACCTAACAACAACAACAACAGTGTCTTGAAAAATTATGGCTGTAACGGCAGAAAAACCACGTCTACACAAATAGAAAGATAAAGATTAATTCCTCACCTGCAGGATTTTAGATTCATGTTCACTTACCTCGGGTATGATGTGGCCATCCGTGAACCAACTCTATGGAGATCATCACGGATAACAAACTTAGAACTCCAAAGCAGAGAGGGATTGAGAGGAGCCTATTCATGTTAAAAATCTATTGTCTCCCCTGTTAGCAGAGAAACTGACTTTCCAGGTCAAGAAGGATATTTCAATGGCTCTAGAACGCGGCAGAGCTTGCTTTTTAAAGGTGGCAACTGCGCTTCAACTGCAAATGTTCTGGACAAAGGAGAAAAAAACATAAAATGGAATGCATCCTGTCAACATGATTCAAGACTTGGAGAAGTGACAGGTTTGCTACACAGTCAATGACAGAAAGAATCCAATCGATATGGCTCATATCTGTCCATTTCACTAAAAGCAGGCATTCTTATGCGTGCCTGCGCACTCAAATACATGGACAAGCATAAAGCAAAAACTGGGGATGCCAAATGAACTGATTGGATTCACATAATTTATTGTATAATTTCCTGACGCCAGAGTTAATTCACTTCAAATCCTATTAATACTAAGGCTGAGTGTATCCAAGGAAGGTGAAAGTGGGGATAATGCCTTTCATTTGCCTGAGTACTTAGAGCCAGGAAGTGGTCTTTCAGATAGCAATGCTATTCTGTAGCTATGTCTTCAGTCTTAACCAGCTACATAGATTTAGTTGGGAAGAGCTCAAATTTGAAATGAATCATAATGGGAACATTACTGTCTCACTGCGTTGGAGAAGGATGGTTTCATTTTGCTGCAACCAGCACTTTTACAAATTGAGGCTAAATCTAATTAATTCCATGTAGGCAAATGTCCCATCAATACTCTCTTTAAGACTCGCTTTAAGTGTGATGGTGCTCTTTTTAAGTCAATGTCTTTCAGTATATCTCCAACTACAGTTTTACGGCTCCAAAGATGCTGTACTGACCTCTGGCCTTGGAATTTACTTCTCCTCCCAAGGGGATTTAGATACTTCAGCTGTAAAATTCACTTGGTTCTAATGCTTTAGTAAATTTCTTGAATAAAATCTAAACTCCTTAGTTTGATATTCAGGGTTGTTTTTCTTACACAGTCTCATGTTTCACTGCATGTCCTCGTGTACCAGCCATATTAGACTCCTAACTCCCTAACATATCCTGTATGTTCCTCACTCCAGAGCTTTGCTGACATTTTGCCTGCCTTGAATGTTTTATTTTATAACTGAAATACAGGTACTGAAATACAACTCATCCCTCAAGCCTCAAATCAAATGCCATCGGCTCTGTTTAGTCTTTTGGATCTTTTTTTTTTTTTTAATTTTTCTTTCAACCATACTTTTTTCCCCCCTCCTTTGGACTGCCACGCCACTTTGCTTATATGACTATCATAGCACAAATGCATTCCTTCTTTTATTATGGTTACGTGTAATGTAAAATTGTAAATTGTAAATATTATAATTCTAGTTAAATTGTAGATACTTTGAGAGCAGTTACTGTCAAAGTCATTTATATCCTCTTTGCAAGTAGCACAGTGATTTAAAGAAAAAATACATAAAAATATGTTTGATGTGTGAATAAATTATAACTGGAATTTCTGGTAATTGAAAGGTGAAATAGTGTAATGCCCTTAAACATTACGTCTAATTTTAAAGCTAAATGAGTTGAAAGAATAATTACAACTCTTTAAGTGTCTGTTTTTCTAGAGCCTAAAAATTCAAGAATGAACAATGTCTTTAAATCTTAAAAGTTTATCATATGACAGTATTTCACAACTCCGTGTCGTTTAAATACACCGTCATGATATTTATCATTATTTATCTAATGTTGTTATTGTTAGATGCCGATTCATAGCGACCCTGTGTACCACAGAACAAAACACTGCCCAGTCCTGCACCATCCTCACAATCATTGTTATACTTGAGCCCATTGTGGCAGCCAATGTGTCAATCCATCCTGTTGAGGGTCTTCCTCTTTTTTACTGACCCTCTACTTTACCAAGCATGATGTCCTTCTCCAGGGACGGGTCCCTCCTGATAACATGTCCAAAGTATGTGAGACGCAGTCTCACCATCCTTGCTTCTAAGGAGCATTCTGGTTGTACTTCTTCCGAGACAGATTTGTTTGTTCTTTCGGCAGTTCATAGTACTATTTATTTAATAAGTTACTTAAATAAGTTCACTTTTTAAACTCACTTCTATTTTGTCAACTGTATCACCATGAAAATGGACAATCAGTATCACTTGATGTATACAAGGAATATAAGTATGATTTTTAAAAAATAGTATAATTACACATCAAATAGTAAAGCAAAAAGTAAAAACGAGATATAAAATATGCTAATAGTAAATCTAATCAATTAACTCAAAATGAAAACCTGACAATTAGCTCTCCAATTCAATGGGAAAGTTAAACATGAGCTAGTATTAAAGGCACATTCAGATCAAGGTTCCTCAATTTCTAAAGAAAAGAATGCTTTTAAATATAAATAAAATGATTTTGATTTTCTTGTTGTCATTGTTGTTGTTTTGACATTAACCAGCCCTTAGTTCTGATGGATATATGCCTGAACGTGGCAAATTTATTTAACTACCTTCTCAGATAAGATTGTTGTTAGGTGCCAGCTAGTTGGTTCCGACTCATAGTGACCCTATATACAACAGAATGAAACCCTGCCTGGTCCTGATAAGACTGGATACTGGCAATTCATATCTAAATAAAATAATACGTATGACTTCTGTTACGCAAACTTTTGTTTCAGGAAACTGATGAAATCACTTAAATGTTTTTTTCAGTCATGTTTTGGGTGATGTTTTCAAAGTGGATGCAAAATAAGTTCCTTGTCATGACCACTTCCATCAAATTTGAGGAAAAGCCAACAAAGACTTTTCATTGAATCTTTAAAATCTTGCTCCTTAATAAGCAAAGTATTTTATTAATTTTTGGGGTACGAGGGCATAACAAAATTATTCAAATATAAGCAGATTTTCAATATTGATTGATCATACTGCACAGTAATATTATTGTTTAGTGATCAATCATTCCACTCCAGGCCCTGGATTAAACACTTCATATATGGTGTCTCATTTAATTCCTACAGCAGCCCCTCAAGGTGGGAATTGTTATTATTTTTCACTTTTTACAACCAGGGAAGAAAGTTGTGAAGCTAAAAGTCAATCCCAACCCAATTTGTCCCTTGTCCACGTACCACAGTTGGGGAAACCCAAGGATGGAAAATAATTGACTGTTCCAATAATAGAGCTAATTTTAAAGGAAATTTACAAACATTTCAACTTATATTTTCAAGAGCAATCCTTTGTATCTCTTAATCTGTATATCAATTACAGCATAAAAATAACCTTATTTTGTGAATGAAGACATTGACAAGTTACATTATAATTTTCAGTGAACAGATAGCTGAAAGGATGGCGTACATCTTAACAATTTCTCATCATCAGTGACACAAAAAAACAGCACAGATAACTAAGGTCCACATGATGATTCAAACACAGCTGAATAATTACTTTCCATCTCTATTAAACACGTGGCCTTTTTTCCTCAGTCAGCAGGAAAGCTGAGCAATTTCATCTTGGCCTCTCTCTGACCTGCTAAATCCTGGTAGAATTCCTAATATAGAGTGAGATGAGTGAAAGAAAACAGCAGGCAGAAAGAGGAAGGCAAAAGTAGAGGCTTTGGCAATCTGTCAAGCCAGCCCCAGGAATTTTTGTTCTTGTTGTTTAAGAGTCCAGAACGGCCTTTATTTCTCAGAACAAAGAGTGAATGTCTATTCGAATCCTTTGACCATTTTTAAATTGGGTTATTTGTCTTTTTACTGCTGAGTTGTAAGTGTTCTGTGTGTATTCTGGGTCCCTTATCCATATAAGGAAGCCTGGTGGCGCAGTGGTTAAGCACTTAGCTGCTAACTGAAAGGTCGGCAATTCGAACCCCCCAGCCGCTCCATGGGAGAAAGATGTGGCAGTCGGCTTCTATAAAGATTACAGCCTTGGAAACTCTACAGGGGAGTTGTACTCTGTCCTATAGAGTCTCTATGAGTCCGAATCTGCTTGACAGCAATGGGTTATCAGATATTTGATTGGAAACATTTTCTCATATTCTGTGAGTTGTCTTTTCATTTTCTTGTCATGAGCCTTGAATCACAAAAGGTTTTCTTTGGATGAAGTCCAATTTGTCTATTTTTTTGTTTTTGTTGCTTGTGCTTATAGTATCATATCTAAGAAACTATTAACTAACTCAAAGTCATGAAGATTTATGCCTATGTTTTCTTCCAAGAGTTTTATACTTGATGATTTTGGTTTTTATACTTTATACTTTTAGCTTAGCATTTATGTCTTTGATCTATTTTGAGTTGAGTTTTGTATATGGTGTGAGGTTTAGGTCCACCTGATTATGTTTATAATAATCCCCTTTCATTCTCCAAGAGCAGTCTGTATGGGTCCTGGGACACACCAGACCCACTCTGAGATGGACCTGAGCTAAACCTTCATAGATTGTCTTTCCTCCATAAGCCCCTATTCTAATTGGTGGACCAATGCGATCTTTGTGGTCTCCTGAAATTAGTGTCAGTTCAGACTCCATGTCCAGTAATCCCCCTAAAAGTCTGATTACTTCCTTTTCCCCAATGTACAGTCAACCTAGTAAAACACTTTGGGGAAGGCTGAAAAATTAAGAGTATAAGTTTTTAGGTGTCCTTCTCAAGGGTACTCTGCCTTCTCTTCATCCAAGTGGTTCTGGGCCTATAAACTGGCTCAAGTCTGGGAATTGATTGGAGGATCACGACTTTCTGTTTTGGTGATTCAATTTAGACTTCCAGTCACTTGACCTAGAATTTTTCACTTACATAGATCAAATAAGAATTTAGTAGACTGACCATCTATTTCTCTTTTAGGGACACCCCGATCAACTAGCCAATGCCGTAGGTCTCTGTGAATCAGACTATTCTGATTATTGCCTTTCACTTCACTATCCATTATGGTAACCATTCCCACCTTGTCTTTAACAATTAAGTGCCTTCTACAATCTTGGCATCAAATTTTCCTCATACCGTTGGAGGATGTCAGTTGAATGGCAACAATTCTCAGTGTAATTTCTGACTTACAGAGAAGAACAACCACAA